CTCCAGGAAAAAAAAAAAAGTGGGGGGAAAAAGTGCTTGGAGCTCCCAATTTCAGCCCGCGAAAGTCTCCCGACTCATTGCTATTCTTGGGCTCAGGAAATTGCTTAAACGCGATCTGATTGCCAGCAACGTGCAGGAGAAGTGGGGGGTCCGGGTGTCAGTTTCTTTACGTGCAGGGCTCGCCCTCGCGCGCGCTCGCTCTCTCCGGCTCCCTCCCTCCCGCTCTGTTCCAGCAGAGGCTGGGAGTTGCCGCTCGATTCGGCTCCCCTTCTCTCCCTTTTTAGCATTTATTGCCTTCTTTTTGTCCTTTCCAACTTGGAGAGGGCCCGGGTGTGGGGCGCGCGTGGATCGGACGCCTTGGTCTGCGCGGCCCTATTCATTCGCTCCCCGGGCAGCCGCGGCGCGGAGAGAGAGGGCGGCCCTTTTTTCCCCCATTTTTTTAATACCCCATTAAGTCTGATTGACAGTTAAAGTTGTTGGGAGGCTTCACTACCGTTCCTCTGAGTGGCTGCTGCGGCCTCCCCTCCCCCTGCGCCGTCGCGGGGCGCGCGCATAGGCGCGCACTCGGGCTCGCCGGGACTGGCGCTCTCCCGGGACTGGCTCCCCTGTCTGCAAGCCGGGACTTGCCGCGGGTGTCCCTGAGGGCTAGCAGCTGTAACTCGAACACGCTGGAACCGACTCCTGCGAGCCGGCTGCCTTCCCGAGACATTCCTCCTTGCCCGGGCTGCCCGCGGGCCAGGTGACCACCCCTGCGTGTGGAGCAGGCCTGGGGGAGCCTGCGCATGCCTTGATCCAACCAGGTCGCCCAGGGTCTTATTTCAGGTCATTTGGTCATCCCCTGCCTCCAGGTAGGCTCCGGAAGCCACTTCTCACCTTTGCCCGGACCTCTTCTGTCTTCGCTTAGAGTGGACCTTTAAAAACCTGACCCCAGTCCCTCATGTTGCTTGCGGGGAAGCCGCTGGGGAACCGGCCTTTGCTTTGAGGGGAGGGGGTAGTCAGGGTAAAGGAACCTCTGCTCCGGGTGCCAATAAAATCCCCATAAGATTAGCTGGGAGCATATTTATTGCTCATCTGAGCTAGAATTACCTTGACTGACAGCAATTTCCTTAATAACTAACGCCTGTAAACAAAACGGCCTCTACCTGCGCCCCTGCGCTGTGCGGGCAGCGTCTCCTGTTCTTGGGTCTCCCTGGACTGCCCTGGCGGGGCACCCACCTTCTAACCTCATGCCCTCCCCGACCGGAATGTCTCCCTTGCTGGAGGGTGGGACCGAGCTGCTATTTAGAGTTGTCTGTTGCAGGAAGTCTGGGAGGTGAGTCACTAAAAAGCAGCCCCAGTTCAAAGTGCTGATGGGACTTGCCTCCCGCCCCCTGCACGCTCCCGGGGCCGGAGGAGCGAGAGCGAAGCCGGGAGCTGCCCTGTAATCTGGGGCAGCCGTTTCCAGCCCGCGACTTGTTCAGACGGCGATTCCTGGGCCTCACCCCGGAGATTCTGATTCAGCAGGGCTGGGTGCGCTGGGATCGGCGCTTTTACTGCTGCGCCTAGGTGAGAAAGTCACTTCGAAAAACGCTGATCTGCGGGGAGGGGAGGCTGGGATTGCCTCGTCACCTGCAAAGACCTAGATGGGGGAGAGATTCTGCAGGTGAGGATCTTCCTTCTGGGTGAATTGGGTAAGGCCACTGGAAGAGCAAAAGGCTGGAGAAGCTTAGGATGAGAAACTGTCCTGCCCTGAAGGCCTGGATTTGGACACTTAGTCCTTCCCGTGACCTTGTCATGGGGGTACTATTACCCCATCTTCCAGGTTACCCAGCCAGGAAGTGCAGGAGGGAGGAATCCCAATCCCGACCTCTTCCCATGCTGACCAGACGGGAGAAGTGGAGGATGGAGCTCAGCTAAGGGTTGCAGAGACTCCCCACCGCCTCCAAGAGTCTGACCCAAGGGCGGACCACTGTCCCCATCTGACCCCAGGGCAGGACTCCATTGTGGTGACGGCCTCCTCCTATCTTCGAGGTCTGTAAAGATGGGAAAGAGATTCCAGCCTGGGAGTGACAGGCCTTTCCCACCCAGCAGCGGCTGGTGTCCGCCAGGCCTGCGAAGAATCCTGGAAAGGTCTGAAGACAGAACCAGGCAGCAAAAGCGGGCTTTGCTCATCCGTTGTCCTCGGAGCCGCCTAGTGGCCCAGATCGGACACTGCGCCTCCAAGCTGCCCAGCCTCCAGCCTCCCGGCGCTCCTGCTAACTACCTGTGCTTTTCTTCCAGGCATTTCTCTCCTGTAAGGTTAACACCCCAAGTCGAAAAGGGCTTATGAAGATCAGATCGGAGTCCTCCACCCCCGCCCCCCGATATACTTTTATGGCTGGGGAAACTAAACCCAAAAGATATTAAGGAACTCATATACAGAGATGTGTGTTCACCCCAACTAGCCCACCCTGGACAGATGCCGGACCAGATGGGTAACCCCTAAATCCTGCTTACATATCTCCAGTTTTGTGCCTTGGAGGGAGGGCAGACAGTGGGTGGGAAGAAGGTCGAGAACTCAAATTGACCTTTCCTGCCTCAAGCCCTTGACACAGTTTCTGATTTAATTTCCTTAACAGCCTGGGGAGGCAGGTGTCATAGTGGCCATTTATTTATCCCAGGAGGAAACAGGCTGGTCAATCTAGGTAACTTGTGCAAGGCCATACAACCCACTTCCCAAAAGGCTTGGGATGAAATCAGAGGGAAATAGAACATGTCAGCCATTCCCAAAAGGAACTGACAGTTCCAGAAGCTGGCCTGAGGTGGACAGTGGCCTTTTTATCTACTTGGTCCACCTTGAGGATGTGATTTTTGTGGGCCTGGAGGCTCTTCGGGCCACAGATGCCTCTCAGCATCAATTGCTCGGAGAGGAGCCGTCACCTCCTCTATTGCCCTTCTCCCTGGGAAGATGGGTCCAAGGAGGCCGTGTGCGTGTGTGTGTGTGCGCGCGCGTGCGTGCACAGTTCAGCAGGCTGGCCCTGAGGTTCGCTGTGGCCTGGCTTCAGTGAGAACAACATGGGACACATCCTCCCTGCCTTTCCCTCCCTCCCCCAGGTGCCCCCTCCTGGAATTTAACTCAGGGCAAAGTTTGAAATTTCATATCCCAGGCCCGTCCCTGAAAATGTGAAAGGAGCCTTTCCGGGCTTAAGGGAAGAGGTGAGCTGCAGTCGGGAGAAATTTTTTCACAGCTCAGCCCCCTCAGTGTAACAAGGTTCCACACTCACCCTGTGATTCCAGCACCAGAAGCCTGTTAGAAATGCAGAATTCAAGCTGATGTGGTAGCTCACATCTGTAATCCCAGCACTTTGGGAGGCCGAGGCAGGTGGATCACCTGAGGCCAGGAGTTCAAGAACAACAGCCTGGGCAACATGGTGAAATCTGGTTTCTACAAAAAATTCAGAAATTAGCCCAGTACAGTGAGGTGCACCTGTAATCCCAGCTACTAGGGAGGCTGAGGCAGGGGAATCGCTTGAACCCAGGAGGTGGAGGTTGCAGTGGGCTAAGATCACACTGCTGCACTCCAGCCTGGGTGACGTGAATGAAACCCAGTCTCAAAAAAAGAAAGAAAACAAAAATGCAGAATCTGGCTGAGCGATCACAAGGTCAGGAGTTCAAGACCAGCCTGGCCAACATGGTGAAACCCCATCTCTACTAAAAATACAAAAACTAGCTGGACATGGGGGTGCATGCCTGTAACCCCAGCTACTTGGGAGGCTGAGGCAGGAGAATTGCTTGAACCCAGGAGGCAGAGGTTGCAGTGGGCTGAGATCGTGCCACTGCACTCCAGCCTGGACCACAGATTGCAACTCTGTCTCAAAAAAGAAAAGAGGCCGGGTGCGGTGGCTCACACCTGTAATCCAAGCACTTTGGAGGCCAAGGGGTAGATCACCTGAGGTCGGGAGTTCAAGACCAGCCTGACTAACATGGTGAAACCCTGTCTTTAAAAAAAAAAAAGGAAAAAGAAAGAAAAGAAATGCAGAATCTCAGGCCCCACCCTGGCCCTCCTGAATCGGGCTCTGCATTTTACTGAACACGATGCCCAGGTGTTCCTTTGCCCACTGCAGTTTGAAAAGCATGGAGGCTGAGTCCTGCGTGCCAGGAGGAGGACTTTGGGTTTCATCTGCAGTGCGATGGGGGGGCTTTGGGCGGAGGATGTGGGACAGAGGGCAGATGCGATAGAATCTCTGTTTTTAGAGCCTGCTCTGGCTGCTGGGTCCAGGATAGCTCTGGGAACTGAGCGGATGTGGGGAGAACAGTGAGGAGGCCATTGGAACTCAGGCCAGGGATGGCCATGGGCTACCAGTTCATGATGGGTGGACAGTGACACCTGGACCTCTGCTGCCATGAGCCCTCAGCTCAGGGACATTGGGGTGAGGATGGGGCCCCTTCCTTCCTCTCCCCTCCCAAGGGACTGCAGTCATGGGAGCCAAATCCCAGCTCAGCTCACTGCTGAGCTACTCTGCCCGCTTCTTACCCTTCCTCCAGCTCTTGAGCAGGATTTTAATACCAACAATTTGGTGTGATTGACACCCACAAATGCATGTGCACACACAGACACACATAGCCTCACACACGTACATGGCTTTATGGGACGATTGCCTACTTTCCCCTGAGCAGAACAAGCTGGCAGTGTTTAGCCAGGGAGATCTGGAAAACCTCCTGGTCTGGTGG